AGAGACGGGACGAGCACGGGGGGGACGGCGAGCCCAAACGTGAGACGGAGGGGTAGGGTCAGGGGACAGCGGAGGAGACACAGGAGGGGAACGAGGAGGAAGACGGGCCGGAGACGAGTCCGGCGGCGGGAACACAGGACCGTAGACAGGGAGGTCAGCAGGCGGTGGGGGAGACACCGGCGCGCGGTCCGGTGAGGGAAGGCCGAGCAGGCGGAGAGCAGAAACCGTCGGCGACGGCTGCTGCGGCGGCGACGACGGCTGGGCCGGAACTCTCGGACCAGCAGAGGCAGAACGACCGTCGGCAGAACACTCAACAGCAGCACCCCCAGAACCAACACCCCCAGAGCGAGAACCCCCTCCATTACCAGCGGCACCCCCAGAAGCCGCAGGACGAACACCCTCCTCCACACCAGCACCCCCAGGGGCCAAGAGCGGCGGCGGCAGTGGCGGCAACGGCTGCGGCGGCGGCGACAGCGGCGACGGCTGCGGCAGCGACAGCGGCGGCGGCGGCGACGGCTGCGGCGGTGACGACAGCGGCGACGGCTGCGGCAGCGACGGCGACGGCGGCGGCAGCGGGGTCGGCGACTGCGACAGTGGGGGCGGAGGCACCGGGGAAGGGGGACGCGGCAAGGACGGACCGGGGGTACCACCAGAGTCAGCAGACTCCTCAACGGGGACAACCGACGGGAGGGGAGTGACGTGGGAGACACCAGACGGGGCAGGACGAGGCGGGAGAGGGGCAGGGGCTACCGGGGGAGAGGGAGCAAGGAACAGGGGGGGGGCAACTGGGAGACCTCGGTGAGGGAAGCGGCGGTAGAAGGAGACGGACTCGTCAAAGGTGACGTCACGAGAGTGGAGGAAGCGGTGAGACGGCGGGTGGTAGAAAAGCCAGTCAGACGAGTCCAGGGGGAAACCGAGGAAGACACAGGGGACAGTGCGGGCAGTGAGCTTGTCCGTGCCAGAGGCACGAACGTGAGCAAGGCAGCCCCAGACGTGAAACGCAGACGCGTCACCGGGGGACCCGGTCCAAAGGAGGGTCGGCGAAACCTGCGGCCGCTGGGAGCGTGGCCACAGGTTAAGCTGGTGAGCAGCGTAGCGAACAGCGAACGGCCACAAAAAATGGGGGGCATCGGCATGGATCATGGAGGTACGGGCGACCTCTATGACCAAGCCGATGCGGCGCTCAGCAACCCCATTCTGCTGTGGCGAGTCCGGCAAGGTGTACGACTGGGTGATGCCCTCCGCACGACAGAACTGTCCAAGCCGACCAGAGGCGAACTCGCCGCCACGGTCGGAGTGGAGACACAACACGGGGAGACCGCGGTGGAGACGCGCAGCCACAACCCACGGGAGGAGAACGTCGGGCACGTCGGCCTTCCGCTCCAGGGGAAACACCGTGGTGTAGCGCGTGTAGTCGTCGACGAGCACAAGGAAGTAGCGCTCACCGCGCGGTCCGGGGACGGGGGCAGGGCCCCAAACGTCCAAGTGCAGGGTCTGAAGGGGGCCAGTAGCAGGACGCAGCGAGGAGGAGTGAGGAGCACGGCGAAGCCGACCCTCGACGCAAGGCGTGCACGGTGGCGCAGTCGAGGGAGGAAGGGCAGGGAGCGACGCAGGGAGACCTAAGACAAGACCGTGCTGGGACATGTGAAGCAGACGCGGGAGAGCAGGGTGACCTAAGCGGTGGTGCCAGAGAAGGGAGGGGTGAGCGATGGACCGACACGAGCAAGCTGCAGCGACCTGGGAGGACGCACCAAACGGGGGGGAAGCGGTGTCTAGGGTAAACAGACCGGACACCGGGTCCCGGGGGAACGTCGCAAGGGGGGAACCTGAGACAGCCTCAGAACAGACAGCGAACCGCTCGTGCCCGGGGAACGTGGTGGTGACGCCGAGGTCCTGGAGACAGCCGACACCAACCAGGTTCCTGGAGAACGAGGGAACGTGGAGGCCAGTAAGGGAGCCTGAGGGAACTGCCGGACAGGGAAGGGACGTAGAACTGCGCGCGACGACCGTACCCGCAGAGGGGTCAGCGAGAGAGACAACAGCAGGTGCAGCAAGCGGCGTGAGCGTGGAACGGTCGCGGAAGAAGCAGGCAGAAGCACCGGAGTCGAGAGTGAAGGACAGTGACGCAGTGGCGGAGGCCGGGGACGGAGCCGATGCAGTGACTAGACTAGGCAACCTAGGCAGTCCTACGCCTGACGCAGCAGGGGAGGCTAAGCTACACAGTGGTGCAACACCTAAACTAGAGTACACTGGGTAATAAGATCCAGCAAAACTAGAAGTGTCAGAATACAAAGCATGCAAAACAGCACCTAGCTGATCCATGTCTAACTCAAAGATCGGCACGCCCTGGCGGAGCAGGCTGTGCCAGTCGAGGAGGTCCGGGGCCGGGCCAAAGCGACGACGAAAGAGATCGTCGAGGCGGCGGAAACAGCGGGCGGTCGGGTGCGGGCGGCGGCACAGAGTGCCGCGAAGAGGCCCGGTCTGAAGCTGGTACTGGCAGGTGACAGCACCGGAGCCGCCGGTAGACGCCAAGCTGCGCGGACCGCCACCACGGCCACTACCTCCAGAGGTGCCGGGCCAACCAGGCGGGAGACGGGCCCACTGCTGCGGCGACTGCTGCTGGGACGGTAACTGCTGCTGGGGCGGCGGCTGCGGCTGGGGCTGCTGCTCCTGCCCACCAGTGGTAGTCCCCGCAGGCGGATTACCGTCACCACCACTACTGCAACCACCACCCCTACCCCCCTGGCGACCACGGCCACCGCGGCGCGAGCGCTGCTGCGGGTGGACCGCACCAGCCGACTCGGTGAGAGGGGCCGCCGAGGCGACCGCAGCCGAAACGTCAGTGAACGCACACTGGGAGGGGGCACAACCGTGAAAGATAGAAACTGCCGGCGCACCACTCGACTGAGCGATAGTGCGCTGGCGAGTCTCGATCTCGGTGAGGGTGTCGACAAAGGCAGTGAGAGTGAGGTCACCCGGGTGCTGGCTAAGAAAGTGATCGCGAGCACTAGCGAGGCGGTCTGGCAGGCGCATGGCGATAAAATAGAGCGTCATGCAGAAAGGGGGGGGGGAGCGCAGTGAGCTGGGCAGCAGTGCTGGCAGTGCGATAGCGGGTCTCTAGGGCACGCAGGTGAGTGGCAAAGTCTGCGACGGTAGGGAAAGCTGCAAGGTCTGGGAAAAGCATAGGGAAGAGCAGGCGACCAGCAGAAGCAGACGCGGGTGTGGAATTGCGGGCAATAACAGCGTCTAAGTAAGCTTTGGCCGTCTCAATAGTAGCAAAACGCGAGCGCTCAGAGACAGGGAGGGCGTGGCTAATGGCAACCTGAGCGACTGCATCGCGGGAGTCCCAGACCGCACGGGCAAGCGCAGCAGTAGAGAAGGTCTCACGGTCATCAGAGGAGGGATCAGCAGGGAGGGGAGCAGGTGCGGGGGGACGGGGGAGCAAGCCGTCGACATGGACAACCAAAGAGTGGCCATCCTGGCGCTGACCTGTAAGGTGGCGGCGGAGATCGGAGAGCCAGGCGGCGAAGTCAACCGCATGGCCCTCGGCGTCCAGTCGGAGCACGAAGTCCGCCATCGTGCAGGGTCAGCGGCACAGCTCCACAGGAACACAGCGACAGCCCCCTCCAGCACGGCGGCCGCGAAGCGCCTCAGCACGGGCGAGCAGAGGAGACGGAGCCCGAGGCGGCACGGCAGGACGAGCCGGGGCGAAGGGGTCAGGCAGGTGCGGTGGGGCCAGGCAGGTGCTGGCGAGGCCAGGAAGGCACGGCGGGGCCAGGCAGGCGCGGCAGGGCCAGGCAGGCGCGGCGGGGCCAGGCAGGCGCGGCGGGGCCAGGGAGGCGCGGCGGGGCCAGGCAGGCGCGGCGGGGCCAGGGAGGCGCGGCGGGGGCCAGGAAGGCGCGGCAGGGCCAGGCAGGTGCGGCGGGGCCAGGCAGGCGCGACGGGGCCAGGCAGGCGCGACGGGGCCAGGCAGGGCGCGACGGGGCCAGGCAGGCGCGGCGGGGCCAGGCAGGCGCGGCAGGGCCAGGGAGGCGCGGCGGGGCCAGGCAGGTGTGACGGGGCCAGGCAGGGCGCGACGGGGCTAGGCAGGGCGCGACGGGGCCAGGCGGGAGCGACGGAGCCAGGCAGGGCGCGACGGGGCCAAGCGGCGGGGCCAGGCAGGTGCGGCGGGGCCAGGCAGGCGCGACGGGGCCAGGCAGGCGCGACGGGGCCAGGCAGGGCGCGACGGGGCCAGGCAGGCGCGGCGGGGTCAGGCAGGCGCGGCAGAGCCAGGGAGGCGCGGCGGGGCCAGGCAGGCGTGACGGGGCCAGGCAGGGCACGACGTGGCTAGGCAGGGCGCGACGGGGCCAGGCGGGCGCGACAGAGCCAGGCAGGGCGCGACGGGGCCAAGCGGGCGCGACGGGGCCAGGCAGGGCGCGACTGGGCTAGGCAGGGCGCGACGGGGCCAGGCGGGCGCGACGGGGCCAGCCGGGGCGCGACGGGGCCGAGCGGGCGCGACGGGGCCAGGCAGGGCGCGACGGGGCTAGGCAGGGCGCGACGGGGCCAGGCGGGCGCGACGGAGCCAGGCAGGGCGCGACGGGGCCGAGCGGGCGCGACGGGGTCAGGCAGGGCGCGACGGGGCCAGGCAGGGCGCGACGGGGCTAGGGTGGCGCGACGGGGCTAGGGTGGCGCGACGGGGCCCAGGAGGGGCGCGACGGGGCTAGGAGGCGCGACGGGGCCCAGGAGGGGCGCGACGGGGCTAGGGTGGCGCGACGGGGCTAGGGTGGCGCGACGTGGCCCAGGAGGGGGGGGGGGGGGGCGACGTGGCTAGGAGGCGCGACGGGGCTAGGAGGCGCGACGTGGCCTAGCTAGGGTATGGGCGGAAGCGGTAGGTGGGGGATGCTAACCTACGCGTGATACCATGTCAAAGTGAGAACGAATAATGACTAGAGGTGGAAACCTAGAACAAATACTAGTTGGTTGTACTCACTAGAAGCATACCTCAGTCTAGCATATAACTTCTATATAGATAATATGTATAAGTTGACAGTGTGGGAGGGTCTTAACCCAAAATTTCATGGTCTAGCTGTGAGTGACTTCATCGGAAAAACATGGCTTGAGGGGTGTGTGTGGTGTGTGGAGGAATGTCTCTGGTGTGAGGGACTTCGCCAAAATTTTATTGTTGCGAGGGGTATGTGGAGGAGTCACTGGTGTGGCAATTGTTTTCTCAGGTGGCAGAAGATGCATGATCACATTGAACTGCAAGAAGTTGAGGCTTACTGCAATACCCCCCCCCCCCCTCCCTCCCCCCCCCCCCCCCCCACACACACACCGCCATTGTCACTACTGGTGTTAGAAACGTTTACTGCATGACATTGAACTGCAAAGAGCTCCCCCACCCCTCTTCCCCCCCTCCCTCCCCTCCCCTCCCCCCCATTGTCGCTACTGGTGTGGCAACTGTTTACTCAGGTGGCACAAGGCTCATAGCAATGACATTGAACTGCAAAGAGTTGGGGCTGCCAGTTATCACTGCCTGCATTATCCATGCAGCATCCTGGCAACAATGGAGCACAGATGCAAGAAAGGAGCACAGACGTAAGAAAGGAGCACAGACGCAAGAAAGGAGTAGAGATGCAAGAATGGAGTAGAGATGCACGGAAGGAGCAGAGATGCAAGGAAGGAGCAGAGTTGCAAGGAAGGAGCAGCGATGCAAGGAAGGAGCAGTGATGCAAGGAAGGAGCAGTGATGCAAGGAGCAGTGATGCAAGAAAGGAGCACAGATGCAAGAAAGGAGCACAGATGCAAGAAAGGAGCACAGATGCAAGAAAGGAGAACAGATGAAAGAAAGGAGCACAGATGCAAGAAAGGAGCATAGATGCAAGGAAGGAACACAGAATCAAGAAAGGAGCACAGATGCAAGAAGGGAGCACAGTCAGTCCAAATTAGAGTGCAGCACGCAGATCAGTGCACGTCCCCACAGACCTCATCACATCACATCACATCACACCACACCACACCACACCACACCACACCACACCACACCACACCACACCACACCACAACACACCACACCACTCACATCACATCACACCACACCACACCACACCACACCACACCACACCACATCACATCACATCACATCACATCACATCACATCACATCACATCACATCACATCACATCACATCACATCACATCACATCACATCACATCACATCACATCACATCACATCACATCACATCACATCACATCACATCACATCACATCACATCACATCACATCACATCACATCACATCACATCACATCACATCACATCACATCACATCACATCACATCACATCACATCACATCACATCACATCACATCACATCACATCACATCACATCACATCACATCACATTGCATCACAACACAATGCAACACAACGCAAACCGATCCTATCTCATCCCATCTCATCCCATCTCATCCCATCTCGAACCATCCCTATCACAACCCATCCCATGATATCGCAGACCCCCCTCCCATGTAGCACTCACCTGCAGCAGGGTGTCAGGGGAAGATGGCCCATGGTCGATTGGCTTTGGCTTGCGACCGTCCAGCTCATACAGGCAACCTGAGGGGGGAGCGAGGGGAGGGGAAGAGCTCTGCCACCAGCCCTGTCTCTGCCACCAGCCCTTTCTCTGCCACCAGCCCTATCTCTGCCACCAGCCCTGTCTCTGGCACCAGCCCTGTCTCTGCCACCAGCCCTATCTCTGCCACAAGCCCTATCACTGCCACCAGCCCTATCTCTGCCACCAGCCCTATCTCTGCCACCGGCCCCTTCTTGCAAGAAACGAGACAGAATCCAAGTCTGCAGGTTATTCCGGTTTTCTCCAATGGGGAAGAAATGCGCTTACCCCCAGCTGTAGCATAGGCAACAGAGTGCAAGTTACACAGAATCGAAGTCAAAGTAAGCACACTTACCCCCAACAGTGACATAGGCAACAAAGTGCAGGTCCACACACTCATGTAGACTGGGGGGCTGCAGAGACACAGAGAAACAGAGAAAAAGAGAAACGAAGAAATGGAGAAATAGAGAAACAGAGGCGAGGAAGGAAAGAAAATGGAGAAGGTAAGGGGCCAGAAGTGGACTGATGGCCTGTAACGGATCATAGATTGGCCCTGATTTTGTGTAACAACTCATTCGCACAACAACTAGTTACAGTTCAGCCACGCAAAGCACAGACCAGCTACTGAAACTAGGCACAGGAACTCCTGCCGGACAGCTCGAACAGAACCCACCCGAGTGTCACCGGCCTCTGCTGCATCTGAGTGCACTTTCTCCAGCTCTGTGTCCGCCTCCAAACAGGCCGCTCGCTGGGAGACGGAGAGAGGGGAGAGAGAGGGGGAGAGAGGAAAGGCGAGAGAGCGTAGGTGAGAGGGGGAGAGAGGAAAGGCGAGAGAGCATAGATGAGAGGGGGAGAGAGGAAAGGCGAGGGAGCGTAGATGAGAGGGGGAGAGAGGAAAGGCGAGAGAGCATAGATGAGAGAGGGGAGACCAGTGATCTCCAGCTCTGTGTCTGCCTCCAAATAGGCCGCTCACTGGGAGATGGGGGGTGTGAGAGGAGTGAGAGGAGAGGGGAGAGGGGAGTCGGGATACGACACCTAAACAAGCAACAGAGCCCACGCGGATGTTTCTGGGCTCTGCTCCATCTCTGCGCACATCTTCCAGCTCTGTATCTGGCTCCAAATAGGCTGCTCGCTGGGAGACGGAGAGAGGGGAGAGAGAGGGGAGAGAGAGGGGAGAGAGAGGAGAGAGAGAGGGGAGAGAGGGGAGAGAGAGGGGAGAGAGAAGGGAGCGAGAGGGGAGAGAGAAGGGGAGAGTGGAAGGCAACGTTGGACGCTCAGCAGAGGAACAGGGGGATGCTCTGAGTCGACTCAAAATGCTTCTGATTCGACTCAGGAACAGGGGATGCTATTTGCCATTGATTGGATGGTTGTTACAGATTCGACCATGCATTCCCACGCCCATAAACCATGTACTCACAAGCCCATTTGCCATGCACTCACCTCTTCAGCTGTCATGTCTTTGGTCTTCTCCAAGAGCTGCTCAAGGAAAGAGCCCTTGTCCCAAGTCCCATGCACTAACATCCCCACATCCCCTAGAGTCCTATGCACTCACCTCTTTAGCTGTCTTGTCTTTTCTATTCTCGAAAACTGCTGACGGAAAGAGCCATTGTCCCAAGTCCCATGCACTTACACCCCCACATCCCCTAGCGTCCCATGCACTCACCTCTTCAGCTGTCATGTCTTTGGTCTTCTCAAAGAAATGCTGCAGGAAGGAACCCTTTTCTGGTTGGCGTAGGAAGAGGCAGAGAGGTGCGGAGCGGTAGGGGGAAATGAGAGAAAGGTGCGGAGGTCTTAAGACCTGAGCGTTAGGTAAGACATGGGGTGCTGCTGTGCGTGCAACAGGGCATAAACACGGACAAGCAAGTAGAAGGGCGCAATTAAGAGGACGAGGGGGGAAGCGAAGAGCATAGGATGAGTGATGGGCACACATAGAAGTGACGCAGGGAGGGGCGGGTAAGAGGGAGGGAGGAGTGTTGGATTGGGAAGAGCCAAGACGCGAGACAAGATCGGGACGGGTGGGGAGGGCGAGGAGACAGAACGGGAAGAGTGGGGGGGATTGGTGGTGGGGAGGAAGGGTGGCACATGGCGCATGCTAGGTATCAAAGAGCAAGCCTTGCGAGAGACTTTTGAGAATTCTCAAAAACAAAATCTCTCGCAAGCCGCATGCTAGGTATCAACGAGCAAGCCTTGCGAGAGATTTTCGAGAATTCTCAAAACTAAAATCTCTCGCATGGCGCATGCTAGGTATCAACGAGCAAGCCTTGCGAGAGATTTTTGAGAATTCTCAAAAACAAAATCTCTCGCATGGCGCATGCTAGGTATCAAAGAGCAAGCCTCAAACGAGCAGGGTGCGAGCTCGGTACCGAGGGTGAGTCTGTGCTGGTTGTCGCTGATGGTGTGCTGGAGCACAATGGTGCCGCATGCGTTGTCTATGGTCCAGACCCGTTTTAAGATGGCTCAAAACAACTAGGTAGGTATAAGGTAAGGTAGGGGGTAGGTGGGTGCGGAGAGTGAGTCTGAGTCTGTGCTGGTTGTTGCAGAAGGCAAGCAGGAGCGCGATGGTGACACACGCGTTGGTTGTTGTCGATGCTCCGCACGCGTGTGTAGACCGTTATAACGAAACTAGGTAGGCATTAGGTTAGGCACAGTCGGTGCCCACCAAGAGTGAGTCTGTGCTGGTTGTTGCCGATGGCATGTAGGAGCGCAACGGTGACACACGCATTGTCTATGGTCTGCCGCATAAATAAGTCTTTTGAGGCGCCACAAAGCTGGGTATGATAGGTACAGTCGGTGCCTACCAAGAGTGAGTCTGTGCTGGTTGTTGCCGATGGCATGTAGGAGCGCAATGGTGCCGCATGCGTTGTCAATGGTCTGCCGCACAAAGAATGGCTGTGGTGATGCTGCAGAGGGTGCTGTTGGCTCAGGTGTTGGGTCTTCCTTTTCCGCCTCTTTGGAGCGTTCCTGCAACAAGAAAAGGAGGGAAGCCAACAGAAGGAGCAGGGGAAAGGAGGAAGACCGGCGGGGAAAGGAGAAAGAATGGCAGGGAAAGCCAAGAGAAACGAGAGGGAAGTTAAAAACAAAGGAGGGCGCTGAACGAACACAAGCATTGGAGAGGGTAGAGGCAGTAGAGGCAGTAGAGGCAGTAGCGGCAGTAGCGGCAGTAGAGACAGTAGAGGCAGTAGAGGCACTGGGGGCAGTAGAGACAGTGGGGGCAGTAGAGGCAGTGGGAGCAGTAGAGGCAGTGGGGGCAGTAGAGGCAGTGGGAGCAGTGGGGGCTTTGTTACCTCGAGCGGAAGGAGAAGAGGAAGAGCATGGCGAGCACAGGCTGTGGAACCATGACGAGCAGCACGCCGTGTGGAACGAATGCAAGCAGTAGTTTGTGCCTCACCTCAGGTGGGAGCAGGAAGAGGAAGAGCAGGGCGAGCACCAGTTGGGGCACCATGGCGAGCAGCGCTAGTGTGGAACGAATGTAAGCAGAGGCAACGAAATTAAGGCAACAGAGGCTGCCTCAAAACCAGGCAGTCAAGGTTGCCTTACTTCAGGTGGCATGTGCTTTGATTTTGAGAATTCTCAAAAAGGAAGAGGTAGAGCAGCGCGAGCACCGGTTGCGGCAGCATGCCGAGCAGCAGGCAGTGGCTGCAGTGGCACCACGTGCTACACGAATGGCAACAGTAGAGGCTGCTTTACCTTGGGCGGCAGCAGGAAGAGGAAGAGCAGCGCGAGCACGGGCTGGGGCACCATGGTGAGCAGAAGGCAGGCAGTGTTACACGAATGTAATTAGCAGTAGAGGCTGCCTCACCTCGGGCGGCAGCAGGAAGAGGAAGAGCAGCGCGAGCACGGGCTGGGGAACCATTGCGAGCAGATCGGCATCAAGGCCATAGACGTCGTGGAAGCCCGCTGCTGACGCGGGGAAGCCGATCTTGCGAACGAACTGGGCGGGGGGTGGGGGAGAGGGGACGGGAAAGAGGAGGCGTGTTCGCGTCATGAGGTCAACCACCATGGCGAGCAGATCGGCGCCGAGGCCATAGAAGTCGTGGAAGCCCGTGGCTGATGAGGGGAAGCCGATCTTGCGAACGAACTGGGGGGGGGAGGGGGGAGGAGGAGAAGAATAGGGAAAGGGTGGGGGAAATGGGAACGGAAAGCCGGTGGGGGGGAAGGGGGGGCGAGCGGGTGGGGGCACAACGGTTGGGTGGTGCTGGGATTGCGGCTGGGGCACCATGGCGAGAAGATAGTCATCGAGGCCAAAAACGTCGTGAAAGCCATGTATCAGCAGCAGCATGATGGACGTCATGTATCAGCAGCATCATGACACCTGGACGTCATGTATCAGCAGCATCATGATGCCTGGACGTCATGTATCAGCAGCATCATGATGCCTGAACGTCATGCATCAGCAGCATCATGATGCCTGGACGTCATGTATCAGCAGCATCATGATGCCTGGACGTCATGCATCAGCAGCATCATGATGCCTGGACGTCATGCATCAGCAGCATCATGATGCCTGGACGTCATGTATCAGCAGCATCATGATGCCTGGACGTCATGCATCAGCAGCATCATGATGCCTGGACGTCATGTATCAGCAGCATCTTGATGCCTGGACGACATGTATCAGCAGCATCATGATGCCTGGACGTCATGTATCAGCAGCATCATGATGCCTGGACGTCATGTATCAGCAGCATCATGATGCCTAGACGTCATGTATCAGCAGGATCATGATGCCTGGACGTCATGTATCAGCAGCATCATGATGCCTAGACGTCATGTATCAGCAGCATCATGATGCCTGGACGTCATGCATCAGCAGCATCATGATGCCTGGACGTCATGCATCAGCAGCATCATGATGCCTGGACGTCATGTATCAGCAGCATCATGATGCCTAGACGTCATGTATCAGCAGCATCATGATGCCTGGACGTCATGTATCAGCAGCAACATGATGCCTGGACGTCATATCTGATCGAAAATCGTTTATAAGCTCACATCGTTCATGACGTCCGGGTTCGATTCCAGCGGCAGCCATTTCTTGCTGCGCTTCTCCTCCGCTCCGCTCCCACCACCTCCTGCAGCCACGTCAGCAGGCGCGTTGCTGTCAGCCATTGCTGCCTCCTGGCCGAATAGTGCCACGAGTGAACGTGCACTTGGCGACTCGCCTGCTCCTGTTCGCCGTTTCTCGCCAGATTACTCCTCTGGTCGAAGCCGCCACTACTTTCTACACGTCAGCGGCCTAAGCTTTGCGCTGACTATCTAAGCGCATCTGAATATTAAATCATAGATTCGACCTTAGTTCAGAATGCTAAAATTCTGGAGCTCTGTTTCAGGTGTTGTGTCAGCAGCATGCCTGAGTGGTGTTGATTGATTGACCCGTTATGCTCTGTATAAGTCATCGTAATCCACTTTCAGTCCGATGTGCGTATGGAACTGGAAACACGTGATGCAGTACTCGTTATTGCATGACTTTCAGCTGAGTTGTAAGGAGGTCACAAAAAATTGTAGCACGTTAGGATTATATCATAATCCTCAAAACCCGCTGAACAGTGTGACCTGGAACTGGTAAACCTTGGGGAATTGCTCGAACCGCAGTTATTCGCCCCGCAGTTTACCTCAGCACGGAACACTCAGTTGCCATAGCTCCTTACACGTCCCATCTGACAGTGCCAGGCACGTGTCACGATGGTAGATATCGAGGATCTGGCGTCGTTCGGCAATCCCTTTGATGACGAAAGGCCACCCGGATCAGGTCGCAATCGAAGCGGCAAAGTCGCCGTAAACGGCGCCGTCAATCGCGGATTCAGTCGCACGAATGGCCGATTGGCCGCGGATTTAGGCACGGGCGATTCGTTCGACACTAGAAGTTTGCCGCAAACCACCAATCAGAGTGATGTTTCATCGTCCTTGAACGGAGAGATCCTAACCGTTGATCCCCAGGTACCCCTTCCTGAGGTAGGAGGCGGTCGGCCAGCTGTCAAACGGCGGTCGAAACTAGCTACAGTTCGCGCTGACGGTAACGGTAGCAGAACTGACGGTGACGGTAACAACAGTAATAATGGGTTGGCGCAGGCTGGCGAAGCGGTGGACAGTGGAGTGAGGGTTTCGGGGACAAAGCCTGGCAGTGAGGTTGCTCGTATCGGGGATAACGAAGCGAATGGTTTGGATGAGCATGGAGATGAGATCGAGCACGAGAATGCTCCGACTTCTGTTCCTGGAACGCAGGTATGCTTCAAACGGGGATGAGGGTCCAGCAGTTTAAAATATTTTCCAGGCCAGAGGTACGAGGTCATATGATTTTTAGCCTCACGTTTCCGTACAGTAACTTAGTCTGCTTACGGAGGGAAGGTTGAGTGTCAGCAGCTCTCCTTGACAGCTTTTGTTTCAAAGCCTCCTTTAAGAGTTGTTGCTATAGTCGTTGTTCTCTATGCTGTTTTCTTGGTCAATTCCATTTCCCTTCAGCAGGTGTCTGCTACTTGCCTCTTGGGTACACGGAGGGTTTGTAGATTGTCTCTAACTCTGCTCCTTTTCTTTTCTGTGAATCTCCCGTTTGACCCCTCTCCCGCTTCGTCCACAGTCGATATATATCAAGACGTTTGGCTGCTCCCATAACCAGGTACAGTTTCTGAAACCTTCCAATACAAGGGCGTCCTACACCCGTTACAAGAGATTCCTCCCGCCCCTCTTACCTTCTTCAAAAGAATTCTTTAGAATCTAATAAAACATCGTGCTGACTAAGCATCTTCCCGTCCCTGGCCGTTCCCCCGCCGTTTTCCAGTCGTTCCCCCGCCATTCCCCCATGTCGCCTCCCCTCTGCTTCCTCCATTATGCTCGGCAGAGCGACAGCGAGTACATGGCCGGGCAGCTGGCAGCATTTGGGTACCAACTGGTGGAGGTGCCTTCTGAGGCGGACCTGTGGATTGTTAACACGTGCGTGCGAGCAGTTGGGTGGGGTGGGAGGGATGGGAGTGGTGAGAGGGGGGTGGAGAAGGGGAGGAGAGTGGTGAAGAGTGGGGTGGTGGAGATGCCTTTTGAGGCGGACCTGTGGATTGTTTGCACGTGCGTGAGAGTGGTTGGGGGGAGGGAAGGGAATGAGGGGATTAGGGGAGAGGGGGGGGGGGGGGACGGGAAGGGGAGGAATGACAAGTGGGGAATGGTGGGTTGCAGCGGAGGTGCCTTTTGATGCGGACTTATAGATCGTTAAGGCCGTCAACCCTCCCTTCCTCATCAACACGTGGGATTGGGTCGGCAAGATGGGAGGTTACCCCATTCAACTATGCAATTGAAGGGGAGAAGAGAGGGAAACGGAAAGGAGGGGGCTTGAGGCTAAAGGGATGGATGGTGGGAGTGGAAGTGTGATTTAAGGGGCTGCAATTTTTTTCGAAATCAGCCATGGACATTCCAGGCTTGACTTTGATGTCTCTCCTCTTCTCTCCACGCTCTTAAACCCCTTATGCCTCCCCTTCCTTGCCCTTCCACCAACTGCACACACACAGTCAGGGGGGGGCATTCCCAGTCTCAGTCAGCCATAACCACGGTTAACTCGCTTATCACTGACGGTTCCGGTTTCTTTTCCGCCCTCGTGTCTCCCCTGCCCTGCTGCACCGCCAAGAACCCCTCGCAGTCAGCCATGGACACTCTTGAATTCGATTCGAAGGTCCTTCCACTTTCCTTGAACCCCCTGTCTCGCCACTTTCCCTACCCCCCCAAACCCCCCCCCCCCCAGCTGCACGGTCAAGAACCCCTCACAGTCAGCCATGGACACTCTTGTGCGCAAGGGCAGGGACCTGGGCAAGCGCCTTGTGCTCGCAGGATGTGTGCCTCAGGTTAGTAGTAGCGTGAGCTTTTTGAGTAGTTCAAGGAGCACTAGTGAGATGCTCCTTTTTCATGTAGCTGTCGTGTCTCTCAAGTCTCTACCTTGATAGACACGATACTCAAGCTCACCTTGTGCGAATAACAAATGTATGCAGAGAATCCGAGAAGAGTGGGAGGGAGGTTGAGAGCAGAAGAGATTGGCGCAATTCTAAGAGTCAAGTTGTATGCCGGGTTGGGGCTGGAGCCGACGTACATGGTAGGTGGAAGGAATTCTGGAGTAGACGTGGGCATGAGCCGAGCCTGGCTCGGCTCGGCTCGTTTTGGGTCGAGTCGAGTTGGCTCGACGGCGAGCCGACTTGGCTCGTTGACGAGCCGGGACCCCGAGTTGCCCGGCTCGGCTCTTCCCCACGTTGGCGAGCCGGCGCCGGCTCGCCTTGCTGATATTTAGGGGTTAGTGGGTTTTGGGGACCCCTGTTTGCCAGCTTTGACTAGGTGCGCTGCAGAAATTGAGTTTGCCAAACCCTACATAAACTCCTGATTCGGACTAGTTGGTGCTCTAAGACTAGCTAAGGCGTGCGCAACGTACGAACTATGTAGTTGCTGGCTAAGGTTAATGGGATTCGGGTGGGGATGGCGTGGGACTAGTGTGTGGGGAGAGTGTTCCGTCGATCTACAAACTGTACCCACACCAATCCCCCCAAATCCCGAGGCGCGAGCCACTTGGCTCGAAAACGAGCCAGGGGCGAGCCGGCTCGCCGTCAAAAACTGTGACGAGCCAAGCCGAGCCGGCCAGCTGGTCGGAACCGAGCCGGCTCGGCTCGCCTCGAACCGGGTAAAAAAAATATGGCTTGGCTCGCCAAAAAGTCGAGCCGAGCCGAGCCGAGCCAGGTGTGGCTCGGCTTCTGCCCACGTCTATTCTGGGGGATAGTAGAAGCCACCACGGAGCGGATTCAGGTTAAGATGAATTCAAAGAGGTATCTATTTTTAAATGAGGCAAATTCTAACTAGCTATTGGGTGCGTGTATGCTGGTTCTTACGCATGCGCCATTGAAAGAGATCACATAGAGACCTCGGCAGGTAGCAGCGGCGATTGGGATGTGTCGAGCCTTGCTCTCATCTCGTGAGTCCGTCGGTGCTGAATTTTGAGAAGGAACCAGTGTCTGACATTACTCGGCCTTGGATCGACTTTGGCATGCGTTTTTTCCAGGGCCTCTCTGAACCCACCTTTACCTAAATCCGCTCCATGAGGGCTTCAGCGATCCTCCAGAATTCTCCTTACACCTGCCATGTACGCTCGTTCCCAGCCCCATCCCGACACAAAACTTGACTCTTAGAGTTGCACCCCCTCTCCTCTGTTCTCCACCTCTTTTCCACTCTTCTTTGATCCTCCAAAATGCTCCCTCTCAAAATTCTCTGCATACATTTGGCATTGCGTTCCCCTTCCCTCCCTCCCTTGTTTTGCAACGCTGATAATCAGGGCTACCGCAGTGTGTCGGGGGGTGAGAGAATGAGTGTGGTGGAGGAGATGGCTTTGATACAAACCTCCCTATTTCCTTTGCTCCCTTCCCTCATCTACCCTAAAAAAAGGCCCCTTTTATCAGGGTGGCAACTTTGGTACAACCCTCCCTGTTTCCCCTGCTCTTTTCCCTCCATTGCGCTCATCACATATCACCCATTTATCAGGGCGACAGTGGCGTGGCAGGCAGCGAGGGAGTGAGTGTGGTGGGCGTGCAGCAGATCGACCGCGTGGTGGAGGTAGTGGAGGAGACGCTCAAGGGCAACACCGTGAGGCTGCTCTCCCGGAACCGAGCGCTCCCTGCACTCGACCTCCCAAAGGTAGTTGCTCGTTACCCAAAGAGCTGCTGTGCAAGAGGCCGAGTGGTGGAGCTGGTGGAAGAGACGCTCAAAGGCAACACCATCAGATTGCTCTCTCGTTATCAAGTTGAGCCCTCCCAGCACAGCACTCAACCTGCCCACGGTAGAGCGTTCGACTCTCCCCGAGGCAGAATGGCAGAAAGAGCCACTCATGGGTACCATCGCAGGGCTTCTCTCTTGCAGATCGGCATCCCTGCACTTGATTCGCCAAGCCCCCCCCCCTCCCCCCCCTTCCCCTCCCTCCTCCCCTCTCCCCTTCCCCTTTTGGCATTCCATCTTCTTTCAAAAATTGTTACGTCCAGCCAGGCCACCTGTTTGCTAGCACTTTTCTGGGTGTTCCCTCTCCTGGTATTCTTATGCCTCCTTTCCCAACCTCACTCCCAACCTCTTTTTTTTTTGCCACCTTTTGTTCTTCAGGTGCGGCGCAACAAGTGGGTGGAGATCGTGCCCATCAGTGTGGGCTGCCTTGACTCTTTGAAGCCAACATCCATCCCCTCTCCGTCCCCCCAACTCCCCCTCCGCAACCCCTCCCCACCCCCCCAACACACCACCAGGTGCGGCGCAACAAGTGGGTGGAGATCGTGCCCATCAGCGTGGGCTGCCTTGGCGCCTGCACATACTGCAAGACAAAGCACGCTAGAGGCCATCTGGGCTCGTACCCTGTCGCTGTGCTGGTAAGCGAAAAACTGTGGTAAGCTCATGTTGGTCTCCAAACACCTGCGCTTCCTTGCGCCCTCTCTGCTTGACAGAGTGCGGGCAGCAGTAGCAGAGGGCGTAGGTAGGGGAGATATATGCTGAACACAGCAGCAGAAACCCTCAGCAGCAGAAACCCTCAGGACACAGGGGCCTATGGACACATGTTGAACTCCACATGGCTGGATATTCTTTCGCTTCTTCCTCCCTTCCGCTCCTGCCGTCCCTCTACCCTCTTCAGCTTGACAGAGTGCGAGCAGCAGTGGTGTAGGGGAGATCTGGCTCAGCAGCAAGGACACAGGCGCATACAGAGCGCCTCCAACCAATCACCAAGCTTCCCCCCCCACTCTCCCCTTCTCAACCACCCCCTCGCAGCTTGACAGAGTGCGAGCAGCAGTGGCAGAGGGTGTGCGGGAGGTCTGGCTGAGCAGCGAGGACACAGGCGCATATGGCCGTGACATCGGCTCCAACCTGCCCTCCCTTCTCTCCTCCTTAGTCTCCGAACTCCCCCCCGACGGCCGCTGCATGCTCCGAGTCGGAATGACCAACCCGCCCTACATTCTCGAGCACCTGCCCGAGATCGCGAAGATCCTCAACCACGCCTGCGTGTACAAGTTTCTTCACCTGCCCGTGCAGTCGGGCAGCAACAGCGTGCTGGAGGGCATGAGGAGGGAATACACGGTGGAGGAATTCTGCCTTGTAGTCGACACTCTAATGGGTCTGGTGCCTGGCTTGGAGATTGCCACGGATATCATCTGCGGCTTCCCAGGTGTGTTCACTAGTACCATCTTGCTTCCAGAAACAGTGTGCTGGAGGGCATGAGGAGGGAATACACAGTGTATTTTGAGTCGACTCAAAATACACTGGGAATACACAGTGGAGGAATTCTGCCTTGGGGTTGACACTTTGATGGGCCTCGTACCTGGCTGGAGATTGCCACTGATATCATCTGCGGCTTCCCAGGTATGTGCTCAGGAAGCTAAACCTCCATAGTACGTGCACCGCATTGCACCCCTCGCCTGCCCCATGCCATTCCACCCCACCCATCCCATCCCATGCCTTCCTATCCCATTGTATGGCAGGTGCAACAGCGGGTGACTTCAAGCAGACCATGCATCTGATTCCCAAGTACAAGTTGCCAGCTGAGTCGTTCCCAGACTTGACTTGAGAAGAATGCCTCCTCGCCCATGTCTGACCACGTCCCGCTGCACCGCATTCCACCCCTCTTGACTCCATCCTGCCCCACCCCGCTCACATTGTGGCAGGCGAGACAGCAGCAGACTTTGAGCAGACCATGGATCTGATTCGCAAATAGCATCACCAATGTCTGGCCACGTTCCACTGTACCGCACTCCACCCCTCTTTACTTCATCCCGCCCCACCGCACTCTACCTATGGCATGGCAGGCGAGACAGCAGCAGACTTTGAGAAGACCATGGATCTGATCCGCAAGTACAAGTTCGCTCAAGTGCACATCTCACAGTTCTACCCGCGCCCAGGTGAGACCTGCTGTAAGGTTGTAGCCTTTGCCAGGTGAGACCTGCAGTTCCAGCCTTCCCCAGACACCCTCCCGCAAGTGATGCTCAGAGCTGCGCGTTCACTGCTCGTGGACATGCCTTGCTGTTCCGAGTTTGCATGCTCTGACTTTCCAGCAGGGTTTTGTAGATGGGGTGATGGGAGCAGGTATGTGAACGCTGAACAAACAAAGTGACTTTTGAGTCGACTCAAAAGTCACCTTGGGAACAGGTATGTGAACGCTGAACAAACCTTGCGTTTGCCATCCGTTTAACAACTACTTTTGTGTCACTACCCTTCAGTTTTCTCTTCGTAGTTCGTCCTACCCATTCACTCATGATGGTTGTCTATTCCTCCTGGCACCCCAACAGCGCGCATGCTTTAGGTGCCATCAGGGGAGGCGAAGCAAGCGACTCGACAGCCCACTGAATAACCCTTTCCCTTCCAACCCTCCCCCTTGCCCCCGTCTGTATCCCCCCAGGCACCCCAGCAGCGTGCATGGCCAAGGTGCCATCAGGGGAGGTGAAGCAAGCTGCGGTGGAACCCCAGGCTTGTCTTTGCTGCTTATCCTCCCACCCCCCAGGCACCCCAGCCGCACGCATGCCCAAGGTGTCATCAGCCAAAGTGAAGCAGCGCAGCAGTGGAACTAACCGCCCTCATAGAGTCATTCACGCCCTACACGAGCCAGGCTCTGAGGCACCTTACACCCCTTCAAACCCCTCTTTCTCCCTTCATACTCACAGGCACCCCAGCAGCGCGCATGCCCAAGGTGCCATCAGGGGAAGTGAAGCAGCGCAGCAGAGCACTTACTGCGCTCATAGAGTCATTCACACCCTACACGGGCCTTCTTGGAACCACCCAGAGGGTGTGGATCACGGATGTTGCCGCGGATAAGACGAAGCTCGTCGGCCACACGGATAGCTACGTGCAGGTGCTCGTCCCACCTGATGACGTGGCACTGGATCAGGTGCCAGGTGGCAAGGCGCCAAATGACACGTCAGCAGCCAGCGTGTCATCAGGTGACAGGGTGGATCAAGATGAGGGCACTCTAGGACAATCTGCAGGCTCTGGACGGGCGGCAGATTCCAGTAAGCCGACCAGTGGCAGCGCCAGTGCGTTGCTAGGGTCGGACTTGTTTGTCCGCATCTCCACTGTCGGGCGGTGGTCTGTCATTGGTGTGCCGATTTCTGCTCCAACAAAGTATCACGTGCTCGCTGCTGCAAGATCAGGTGTTCAAACCAAGGCACAGCAGAGCAAGGAGAAGCAGCAGTTTGAGATTGAGCAGCTACCGCCACCACCACTGCAGCAGCAGCAGCAGCAGCAGCGTCAGGAGCCAGGAGTGGCTGGAGCTTCAGTAGAGTGTTGCGGTGGAGGGAGCGAGGGAGCATGTGCTTGCTCTGGCGATGCTTCTGCTGCTGCTGCTGCAGAAGAGGACAAGTGCTGCCACTCAGGGAACTCATCCTGCAGTTGCACTGGGAAAGGGAAAGCGCACTCTGCACTGGCGGCAGCAGGGCCTGGGGAAGGAGACGGGCACTTGGGAAGTGAAGGACTGGCAAGTGAAGCAACTTCTGGTGGGATTTCTGATGCAGATAAGGCATCACAAGCTTTAGGGAGGGGCATGGGGCTAGTTGACGGGTTGTTGCTTGCTGGCATCGCTGTAGGAGCATTAGGTATTGTGGTTTCTTTGGCTTGGTCTTTGTCCATTCGCTATCCTTATAGTAGATAAACTATTCATTTTATTTGGCTTCGGCTCTCCAACCCTTGTGGCCATTTCCTTTTCCGTGAGTGCTCTTTTGTCGCGTATTTCCTCGCCCGCTCTCTCTCGTCTCGATCTCTCCACTTATGCGCCAAGTGACTTGGCGCTTTGAATTTGACTTCGATTAGAGGAGCATTTGCAGCACCATGGGAACTGCATACCTACAGAAGGTCAAGTAGCTTCTAGGTCGTAGTTTCAATTAGTTGCGAGGCTCGAATGCCGTCACTCTCACCCATCGTCTCCTAAGCCTGACTCGCTCTCTAGTCCGTTCCTGCGTACGATTAGCCTCCAATTGCCCGTTAGATCCGGCCCTCTTGTCCAGGTTTTGGAATCCGCCGATCTTGACTGTCAGTTCCTGACATCTACACCTCCACACCTCTGCATACCCCATCGAGCTCATCTTTCCCCCGACCTAATTACGCAGCGGACGCATTTCCACCAACTGCTGTCTTTCCTCCCCCCCCTCCCCCACCCCCCCCCCCCGCCCCTCCTCCGCCTCTTCTAGGTCACTTTTGTCACCACCTCAAAAGTCACCAACGACTGCCTTTCCTCCCCGCTCCTCCGCATCTCATTTCCCCCATCCCCCGCATCTCCCTCCCCCGCTTCTTCGCCTCTCCTCGGCCCCCCCCACTCCGCCTCTCCCTCCTCCGCCATGTCGTCGCTCCCCCAAGCGCTGCTCCCATCGGAGGACGATCTTCTATACGAGGAGGAGATTCTCCGAAACCCCTTCTCTCTTAAACTCTGGTGGCGCTACCTCGCGGCGCGGCGCGATTCGCCCGCGCGGAAGCGGTACTTAATTTACGAGCGCGCGCTCGTCGCCCTCCCGGGTTCTTATAAACTATGGGCGGCTTACCTCCGGGAACGCCGCGCCGCGGTGCGCGGGCTTCCCGCGAATCACGCCGCGCACGCGGCTTTAAACAACGCGTTCGAGCGCGCGTTAGTAACCATGCACCGCATGCCGCGCATCTGGCTCGAGTACCTCTCCGCGTTAGTAGACGACCAGAAGCTAGTAACGCGCGCGCGCCGCACGTTCGACCGCGCGCTTCGATCCCTCCCCGCGACGCAGCACGATAGGCTATGGGACCCGTATCTTAAATTCGTGCGCCAGACTGGCATCCCCATCGAGACCGCGCGCCGGATTTTCCGCCGGTTTTTGCGGTTCGATCCGTTGCGCGTGGAGGAGTATGTGGAGTTCTTAGTGGACGCGCAGGAATGGCGCGAGGCGGCGGAGCGGCTCGCGTCGGCTTTAAACGACGAGAAATTCGTGTCGACACGCGGGAGAACGCGCCACCAGCTGTGGCTGCAGCTGTGCGACCTGCTGACGCGGCACGCGGAGGTGATGCACGGGGACGCGGGAGGCGCGGGGGTAGGCGGAGCGGGGGGAGGCGGAGGGGGAGGCGGAGGCGGAAGAGGCGGAAGCGGAACCCTAAAAGTGGATGCGATTCTGCGAAGCGGGATCAGGCGATTCTCGCACGAAGTGGGAAGATTATGGACGTCCTTAGCGGACTATTACATCCGGCGAGGGCTGTTCGAGCGCGCTAGAGACGTGTACGAGGATGGATTAACTAGCGTTATGACCGTTAGGGATTTCAGTGTGGTATTCGACGCCTTGGCGCAATTCGAAGAGAGTATGCTGGCTGCGAAACTGGAGCTCACTGCTGGGGAGGAGGAGGAGGCGGTGGAGGAGGAGGAGGGGGAGGAGGAGGAGGAGGAGGAAAGGGAGTGGTGGGAAGAGGAAGAGGGGGAAGAAGGGGAGGGTGAGGAAGCTGGAGCAGGGGCCGAGGAAGGGGCGAGGAGAGAAGCGGAGGGGCAGAAGCAGCAGGCAGACGGGCAAGGGCAGGAGGGTGAAGGGCAGGAGGGTGAAGGGCAGGAGGGTGAAGGGCAGGAGGGTGAAGGGCAGGAGGGTGAAGGGCAGGAGGGTGAAGGGCAGGAGGGTGAAGGGCAGGAGGGTGAAGGGCAGGAGGGTGAAGGGCAGGAGGGTGAAGGGCAGGAGGGTGAAGGGCAGGAGGGTGAAGGGCAGGAGGGTGAAGGGCAGGAGGGTGAAGGGCAGGAGGCAAAGCCGAAGGGCAAGAAGCTGAGCAAACAGCAACTGCTGAAGCTGCAGCGACTCCACCAGCAGCAGCAGCAGGAGGAGGATGCGCTCAAAGCAAACCCAGCTAACAACAAAAACCCCAAACCCAAACCCAAACCCAAACCCGCGGACTGGATGTTCCGCACCTCCGACGTGGATCTGCGCCTGGCGCGCCTAGAAGCGCTCATGGAGCGCCGCCCGGAGCTGGTCTCCGCGGTGCTCCTCCGCCAGAACCCCCACAACGTGCACGAGTGGCACAAGCGCGCCAAGCTCTTCCAATCCAACCCCGAGCGGCAAATTTTGACCTACACGGAGGCGGTGAAGACGGTGGATCCGTTTAAGGCGGTGGGCAAGCCGCACACGCTGTGGGTGGCGTTTGCGAAGCTGTATGAGAAGCACGGGGACCTGGGGAATGCACGGAGGGTGCTAGAGAGGGCGGTGCAGGCGAGGCTGAAGGGGGTTGAGGATGTGGCGGCGGTGTGGTGCGAGTGGGCGGAGATGGAGGTGCGGCACCACAACTTCCATGGGGCCCGGGAGCTGCTGAGACGGGCTACTTTACAGCCCTCGCAGGCTGTGCTACGACAAGGTGAGCGGGTTTGGGTGTGGGTTTGTTGTTGGGTGTGGTTTGAGAGTGGGCGGTGGTGGAGGCTTGGCGTTATACTTTCCACGGGGTGAAGGAGCTGCTGAGGAGGGCAATGTTCCAGCTATCGCAGGCTGTGCTGCGACAAGGCAGAGAGGGTTGGGTTGGGGTGGGGGGAGAAGGTTGGGGGGATGAGAAGAGAAGGTGTGGTGTGAGTGGGCGGAAACGGAGGTGCGAAGAGAGAGGAGAGCCTGGGCGTGGAGCCTAGGCGAGCTATAACACCACCGTGTTTTGCTCTTTTCCATTCCCCTTTCTAAAACAACAGCTGCGGCAGAGGGGGATGAGCGCCCTCAGCTCAAAGTGTACAGGAGCCTCAAGGTGTGGACGCTGTACGTGGACATAGAGGAGAGCCTGGGGACGCTGGAGTCGACCCGGGCCGTCTACGACCGAATCATCGATTTGAAAATCGCCACTCCGCAGATCATCATCAACTATGCGCTCATGCTGGAGGTGGGCTGGTGGGCTGGGCTCTGCTGTTTGCCAGGGGCACTAGGGGGGGAGAATGGGGGGTGGGGGGGGAGAAGATGATGGGGAAAGTGAGCCTCAATTATTGATTTGAAAATCGCCACGCCGCAGATCATCACCAACTATGCGTTCATGCTGGAGGTGAGCATAGATGGGGCCGACTTGGGAGGAGGGGTTAGCAAGGGTACATTAGGAAGGGCAGAAGACCTTAGCTGTTGATTTTAAGATTGCCTCACCGCAGATTATCACTAACTCCACCCTTATGCTATCTTTTGGCCTTTTTTTCTCGGTGCAACTCCTTTCCCTTTGCTTGAATCCTCGAGGACAGGTTCAAGGTGTACGAGCGCAGATGTTTTGAGGTCCCTAAGATCACTCGCGATTGATTCGCTGCCTGTTGTTTCCAATTTTCCATCTGTCAATCGCTCGCAGGAGCACAAGTACTTGGATGACAATTTCAAGGTGTACGAGCGAGCACGGATGTTTTGAGTGCTCTTTTCAGCTCTCATCTATCCATTTTACCCTTAATTTTCTCTTTTATTCGACGGCAGGAGCACAAGTACTTTGAGGACAGCTTCAAGGTGTACGAGCGCGGAGTGAACATCTTCAAGTATCCCCACGTGCGCGACATCTGGACCACCTACCTCAACAAGTTCGTGCAGCGCTACGGCGGCAAGAAGCTGGAGCGGGCGAGGGATCTGTTCGAACAGGCATTGGAGAGTGTAAGTGGGAGTGGTTACACACAGGTGTTAGGTCACCACCGTCATGTGCTGGCATATAGGAGCGAGCGAGGCTATCATCTCGACCACGTACCTCAACAAGGTCGTGCAGCGATACGGGGGCAAGAAGCTGGAGCGGGCGCGAGATCTGTTCGAGCAGGCGCTAGAAAGTGTGAATGGAATGATTGCACTCAGTGGCAGGTCACCGACTAACCGCACGCATGCACTCCCTCCCATGTAGGAGCTAGGCTAAAATCTACACCATGAGGTCGTTCCTGCCCCTTCTCAGTTAGTTTTTGCTTTTTTTAGGTGTCTCAAAAGTCGATTTTTAGGCACCGGAAACTTTTACCGCATTCACGTATAGCAGCTAGGCTGTCATCTAGACCACGAGGTGGAACTAAAGGTGAGCTACAGTGAGCTTTTGTTTTTGGACTATGCCTCATTCTTTGATGTGCCATGTCGCCATGTCGCCATCTATGGCATTGATGGCCATGGCATAGATGGCCATGAGGTGAGCTTCGATGGCCTCCTTGAGGAAGAGGACGGGTTGGCACAGGATGCCTCGCCACGGCGGTGTATGACACAGGAGTTTGCAGCGCAGGCATCTTATTCGTGCATCAATCCCCCCCCACCCCCTCCCCAGCAACGGGCGGCAAGCCCCTGTATTAAGCGGGCTGGCGCGGCCCGCCATGGTGGTGTATGAGAGGGGAGTGCAGGGATTTCGCTTGTGCATCCGCCCCCCCCTACGTTTTCCTCCTTCCCCTGCTGCTCCCCCTCCCACTTCCTCCCCCTTTCCCCCGCCCCCCCTTCCTCCCCCTCCCCCCTCCGCTCCCGTCCCTCCAGGCCCCAGAAACGAGCTGCAAGCCCCTGTGTCCACCATACTCAAAGGTGGAAGAAGAATTTGAGCTGGCGCGGCACGCCATGGCAGCGTATGAGAGGGCAGCGCATGCACGCCTCCCAAATTTCCTCCTCCCTCCTCCTCTCCCCCCACCTCCTTTGCAGGCCCCAGCAACAGACCGCAAGCCCCGGTACTTGAGGGTAGCGCAGGGATCTTGTGCGTGCATCCGCCCTCCCCACCTTTCCCTCCTTCCCTTTTCTCTCCCCTCCTTCCCTTTTCTCTCCCCTCCTTCCCTTACCGGCCCTGGCCCACATCCCCTCTCCCTCATTCCCATCCCTCCCCCAATCCTCCATTTCTCCTTCCTTCCCCTTCCCCTTCCCCTTCTCTCCCCCCATTCCCCCCCCCCCTCCCCCCCCGCCCCCCCCTCCGCCTTCCCATCCCTCCAGGCCTGCAAGCCTGCAAACTGGAGACAAGGCTCTCTACCTGGCCCACGCTAAACTGGAAGAAGAATTCGGGTTGGCGTGGCACGCCATGGCGGCGGTGTATGAGCGGGCAGCGCAGGCACCTTTTTCACCTCCCCCCCTTGTTGCCCCCCCCCCCTCTCCAGGCCCCAGCAGGCCTCTCTACCTGGCCTACGCGAAACTGGAAGAGGAGTTCGGCTTAGCTCGGCACGCCATGGCGGTGTATGAGTGGGCAGGGCAGGGATCTTATTTGTGCAACACGCACCCACAACTCTCCCCTTTGCCCATCCCCTCCCCTTCTGCTCCCTCCCTCCCTCCCTCTCCAGGCTCCAGCAATGGACTGCAAGCCTCTCTACGTGGCCTGGAAGAGGAGTTCGGGTTGGCGCGGCACGCCATGGCGGTGTATGAGAGGGCGGCACAGGGATCTTGCTCATGCAACACCCACCCTCAACCCTTCTCACCCCCGCTCCTCTCGCACCCGTTCCTCTCCTCCCCATCAGGCCCCAGCAACGGACTGCAAGCCTCTCTACCTAGCTTACGCAAAGCTGGAGGAGGAGTTCGGGTTGGCACGGCACGCCATGGCGGTGTACGAGAGGGCAGCGCAGGCGGTGCTGGACGACCAGAAGATGGGGGTCTATGAGCTCTTCATCGCCCGGGCTGCTGAGCTGTTCGGCGTTGCCAAGACCCGGGACATCTACGAGGTGAGTGCGGTGCAGGTTATGAGAGGGGTGATATGCGGTGTTGTGCAGTGCAAGGCAGTGTATTTTGAGTCGACTCAAAATACACCTGAGTGCGGTGCAGGTTATGATGGGGGTGAGTGTGGTGTTGTGCAGTGAAAGGCAGTGAATAGACTTTGAGAGGGCAGCGCAGGTAGTGCCAGACGACCAGAAAATGGGGGTGTACGAGCTCTTTATCGCCGGCGTCACTGAGCTCTTTGGGGTAGCCAAGACCCGCGATATCTACGAGGTGGGTGCGGTGCAATGCGGCGCGGGGAAAGCAGTGTGAGCAGGATTGGGGGGAGGGCAGCTCAGGCATTGCCAGCGGAGCAGCGGATGGGGGGTGTATGAGCTCTTCATTGCCCGGGCTGCTGAGCTGTTTGGCGTCGCCAAGACCTGGGACATCTACAAGGTGAGTGCAGTGGAGTGGAGTGTGGTGAAATGCGGTGGCAAAAATGGTGTGACAGGGTGTGAGCAGGATGGTAGAGAAGGCAGTGCAAGCGGTGCCAGAGGTTCAAAAGACCAGGGTGTTAGAGGGTGTTTTTGAGAATTCTCAAATACACCCTGCAAATAGAAGGCAGTGTAGGCGGTGCCAGAGGTTCAAAAGACCAGGGTGTTAGAGGTGAGCAGGGTGTATGAGCTCTTCATCGCCCGCGATTTTTGAGTCGACTCAAAAGGTGATTTTTGAGTCGATGATTTTTGAGTCGACTCAAAAATCTGTTTTGAGTCGACTAAAAAATCAGAGGTGAGCAGGGTGTATGAGCTCTTCATCGCCCGCGCTGCTGAGCTGTTTGGCGTTGCCAAGGCAAGGGACATCTACGAGGTGAGTCAGCACAGGTTGGGCGGTAAAATGCGATGAAAGTCGGCGGTATATAGGGTGTTCTGGGCCGCAGTCCCTTCCTTGTTACATCCCCCCTTCTCCCCTCCACACCCACTTGTTCCATTTCCCCCTCCCCTCCCTCTCCCCCCCCTCCCCCCCCCCCCCTCAATGTCTGCTTCCACCCTCACCACAGAGGGCCATCGAGTCAGGCTTACCTGACGCAGACGTAAAGAAAATGTGCCTGCTGTACGCTGCACTGGAGCGCAGGTGTTGTGTGACATTGTAACAAGCTGACCTTTGAGTCAACTTAAAAGACACCTTGCTACGTCCCCCCTTTTCCCTTCCACAACCCCCTTGTTCCGTTCCCCCCCCCCCCCCCCCCCTCCCCCCCCAATCCTTCTCACCCCCTCCCCCCCAATACCTTCTTTCAACCCCACCACAGAGGGCCATCGAGTCGGGCCTACCTGATGCAGACGTGAAGAAGATGTGCCTGCGGTACGCTGCCCTGGAGAGGCGGCTAGGCGAGATTGACCGCGCGAGGGCCATATTCGTGCACGCTAGTCAGCTGGCGGACCCGCGGTCGGACGGGGAGTTCTGGGACGCATGGAACGCATTTGAGATCGCGCACGGGAACGAGGACACGTTCAGGGACATGCTGCGGATCAAGCGATCCGTGTCTGCCAGCTACAGCCAGGTGGGTGCTACAGCCAGGTGGGAGGTACAGCCAGGTGGGTGCTACAGCCAGGTGGGTGCTACAACCAGGTGGGGGGTACAGCCTGGTGGGTGCTACAGCCAGGCGAATGGAGGCATGCACGGCCATACCATCTTCCCTTTCCCCCTCCTCCCCCCAACCCGTTCTCCCCTTGTCTTGCCCGTTCGCTCATGCATTCCCCCCAGGTGCGTTTCATTCTGCCTGAGTTCCCGGTGCACAATTCAGGTCCCTGCTCTCATGCTTCTCTTTTCCCCCCGCTTATCCCTCCCCGCCCCCTTCCCCCCTCCCCCTCTCTTTCCTTCCTTCCCCTCCCAATAGATGCATTTCATTCTGCCCGAGTACCTCATGCAGAAGACAGCTCCCTCGGTCCCCAGGGAGGGTGCAGCTGGCCGGGGCAGGGAGGGCGCACCTGGGGAAGGCTTACTCGACGGCGCAGGTGCTGCTGATGCCGGTGCTGCTGGTGGTGGTATGGATAGTATGGAGGCTCTAGAACAGGCAGCAGCAGGGAGAGCAGGAGGAGGAGTGGGAGGAGGGGAGGGGGGTGCGAAGCCCCGTGTGCCCATGTTTGTGAGTGGGGGTACAGTGCAAGATCAGGAGACCGGAGCAGGGGTGAAGTCACAGCAGGCGAATCCGGAGGAGATCGAATTGGCTGAGGATGATGAGGAAGGGGAGGAGGAGGAAGGGGAGGAGGGCGAGGGAGGGGAGGGGAAGGGGGGGAGCAAGGTGGGGGTGATGCAGGTGTCGGTGCCTGCAGGGGTGTTTGGGGCGCTGGCTGGGAAAGCAGAGGAGATGGCGAAGCGAGAGAGGGAAGCGGCGGAGAAGGGAGGGGAGGAGGAGGGGGAGAAGGAGGCGATAGGGGCGTTGGAGAGGTTCAAGAGGCAGAGGAAGCAGTAGCGAAGCTCTGGGCATTGCTTGCGTTAACTTTCTTTCACCAGTTGTTAACGAACTGGGAGATTCTTTGGGGCCGTGTGGTTTATGTGATCCGTGGAAGGATGGAATGGTTTGATCGTCATGACTCATGAGCCATCCACGAAGTGAGGAGATCTGTCACCCCTCCACCAACTATTATCGAAACTGGATACGTGGTAGGTAACAGGGAATGGATATTCATTACTTGCTAGCCTGGCCAGCAGAACTACTAATTTACGCTAGCTGAGCGAAAGAACTCTGCTTTGGAAGAAATGCTCCATGTGTCACATTGCCCAGCACCTTAATCTGTCTCACATTGCATACCCTCAACCCTCAACACAGCATTAGTGTAAATATGTAACCCAGTACCACACAACCAAATGCGCATCAAGAGAACAGTCATAGCTTGTCAACCAAACCCAAGGAATGGCTGCGTGTCAGCATAGAACTGTGCCTGGCTAGCCGCTGGAGACTTCCATGTGAAAGCTAAGTGATGCCTTTACAGGAAGAATCTTCTCCTGCTGGTATCCATGTCATTCTGAAAGTGGTGCGTGCGTACAACGGGAAAATTTAGGGGGCGGGGAGAAGGGGGGGGGGGGGGGGGGGGGGGGGGGGCGGGAGGGGGGTGGGGGGAAGGGTTGGAAAATCTTATAACATGACAACTAAGGAAGAGTTTCCTCCTGCTGGTATCCATGTCATTCTGAAAGTGGTGCGTGTTCACAACGGGGGAATTTAGGGGGCGGGGAGAAGGGGGGGGAGGGGGGTGAGCGGGAGGGTTGGAAAATCTTATGACATGACATCAAAAGAAGAGCTTCCTCCTGCTTGTGTCCATGTCACTATGGCATTGGTGCGGCGAGGGGGAAGAGGGGGAGAGGGGATGCGATGATGGGGGTGTTGAAAGGGGCAAAGGCGAAGTTAGTAGGGACGAGAGGCACAGGGTAGGCAGAGCGGCGAGGAAAGGGTGATAAAATGCAGCACCTGTACATCCAGCCCGCTCAATCAAACTAAGTGCTGGCCCTGGTAGCCCACTGCAAACATTCACTCAAACAAACATCCACTCAAACAAACATTCACTCAAACAAACATTCAGTCAAACAAACATTCGCTCAAACAAACATTCACTCAAACAAACATCCACTCAAACAAACATTCACTTCACGTTCACTTCACACAAACATTCCCTGCTGTGAGGCCCTGCAAACACTGTGTCTGTATGATGTCACTGATCATCGACTCACCTTGTACACCCACTCGTACTCCCCTCCCTTGGAATCAAACGTCCCCCGCTGCACACTCATGAGCTTTAGGGTGAAGCGAGGGCCGCACTCCTGCAGGCACGGTCAGAGGAGAGAGAAACAAGGAGGGGGGAGGGTCGAAGAGTCTGTTCATAAGGCTCTTAAGTAACAACATGCGTACTCCTAAGCTTTGAGAGTGAAGCGACGGCTGCACTCCTGCAGGGACGGACAGAGGAGAAACCTGATGTTTGAGAATTCTTAAGGGGGCGGTCAACACTGCTGCAGGGACGGACAGAGGAGAAAGTGGATGAAGGTCAGCAGGGCATACGCACAATCGTGAGAGTGGATTTGAGGTGCCTGTCTCTAGATGCAGCTGTTTAAAAAAATCGAAGAAAGCTCCCGCACAGCACAGCTGGCCTCCTTTCCTGCTCCTACTATGGGTGCCCATTTATTACTCTTCTTGAAACCAAAACCCCCCCCTCATCTCACCTGCAGTCTCGTGAAAATGCCCAAAGATGTGCCCACACTGGTAGGCCGCCTGTTTCTTGCGTTTCACCAGGCCCCCTCTCTCCATCTCCTCCTGCGCCTTTCACTCCATGAGACCCACCTTAGGGTGCCACCCACCCACTCGTCCTGCTTCTCCCCTCATCTCACCTGCAGCCTCGTGAAAATGCCCAAAGATGGCGCCCACACTGGTAGCCTTCTTGCCTGCCGCAGCTGCCGCCGCCTCTTTCTTCTGCTTCACTAGCCCCCCTCATCCAAACAACACCCCCCTAGTCTCACCTGCAGCCTCGTGAAAATGCCCAAGGACGCGCCCACGCTGGTAGCCTTCTTGCCTGCTGCAGCTGCCGCCGCATCTTTCTTGCGCTTCACCAAACCCCCTTTCTCCTTCTCCTCCCGCGCCTTCTTCTTCCTCAGCCCCAGCGACTCGTCCCTCTTCTCCGGGTCCTCGAAAATATACCTGGTGAATGCAGGGGCAAGGGAAATATGCACACAGGTGAGATGAGGCAATGTGACAGCAGTAAGGCACGGTCTCTTCTCCTCCTCCTCCCGCGCCTTCTTCTTCCTCAGCCCAAAGGACTCGTCTCGCTCCTCCGGATCCTCAATTATGTACCTGATGGGAGCAGGGACAGGATAAAAAGCAGGAACAGAAGGAAATGTTCGATGTGCCTGAACCTTCTTCTTCAATCAAACCCAGCAACTCGTCCCGCTTCTCCGGATCCTCAAATATGCTCCTGGTGGACGTAAGAGCACAAGGTACGATGCACAAAGGTACACAAAGGAGAGATGAGGCAACGTGACGCTAGAGCTCCAATACGTAGGGGTAGGGTTACAGTAGGCAGGGAGAAAGAATATCTGAAGAAAATACAAGTGGTAGAGGAGCATACACAAGAATATGTAGTTTCTTGTGCCACAGGTCTTCTATCACTACTTTTATAGTGACAGTAACGCAGCCTGCTATGCTCCCCCACCCTCTCTCCCAACCTGGTGGCACCCAAAAAAAAGTTCCGCCTCTCTGGCTGTGCAGTGCAGAGTGGTCACTCTCTCAGAGTGACGCTGAAACTCAAGACTTCTCTAATATGACAGCACAGCACACACGCAATCAGCACACAGCTGTGGAGCCTCTGATCTGATATAACGCACCTCAAAGCCAGAGTCTGCTTCACACAGCTCTCTATACAGCACCCACCTGTGGTGGCGGAAGAAGATGAAGTCCCTCTGGTTGTGCAGAGTGACCACTCTCCTACCCTTGAACTCTGGGTCCTGGGGGAATAGCGACGCCAGGAGACTGCAAACAAAGTAGAGACAGTTCGGTAGTGATGGAAGAGGGAATTCCAGAAGCAGGTGCCTGAAAGCCGGCATTACAGGCCTGCTATTGGAAACTGGCACAAATGAACCCAACTCCGTGTCGTCTTACAAAAGGTCTGCACACAGACAGAATGACTGAGAGGAAACAAACTCTGGCTTCTTTCTTGTACACACTTGCTTCTTGCTCACTTCAGCAAACCGACGAATCTTGTTGTAGGCCACTGCTGATGGGCGTATGGGCTTGCACTTCATCAACGCCAACAAATCTCCGGCCTCAATGGGTGTAACAAAGCTCCTGACACATGTCTCACTCAAATATGCCGATTTTTTAGGCGACTCAAAATATGCCTCATCAGCTAATGTCCACTCCGTAACAACTCAACAAAGTTGAGTTTATTACAAACTGGATACCAGCTGATGAGGCATATTTGAAAGAGACCTCTATCAGGAGCTTTGCTACACCCACTGAAGCCGAAAATTTGCTGCTGTTGGCGAAATCCAAGCCCATGAGCCCATCAGCAATGGCCTACAGGATTGTCGGTTTGATGAAGTGACCAGGAAGCAAGTGTTTCCTGGCGTAAACCAATCAAGTGTGTGTCCCGAACAAGTGGTTAACTTGGCTTTGTTTATGGATGCCGGGGGGCGGATAAGGGTTGAGTGGAGAAGTTGTTGAGGATGAGCTCGCTCCCACTATGCTGTCCACACCACACCATACGGTTACTCCCGTACGGTCTCAAAACGTACCGTCTAAATCAGAACGTACCGTCCAACTCTGTGTCCCAACCGAGTGGAGAAGTTGTTTAGAATGAGCTCTGGCAGGTGCGACGTTGCTCGCCCTGCATTCTGGGGTTGAAGGGGGGAGAAGCGCGGCAGGGCAGAGGGGGTGTTTTGGTGGAGGGACGGGTGTGAGAGGAGGGAAGAGGAAGCAATAGAGGGAACAAGCCCAGTCGGTGTTCTGGGTTTGGAGGAGGACAAAGGGGAGTGGAGTGGGAGAGCAGATGAGTCAAGCGAGAGCAAGCACGCAAGCGAGCAATAAGGGACCTCATGTGGGAAAGACAATAAACAAACCACTGCACGCCATGTGACACCATCTTGATGTCATGCCGCCGCAACTGCACCCCATCTGACCTTAATGTTCTTCCGAAGGACAAGGCTGGAGAGCTTGAAGAGAGCAGTGGGGCCCTCTGGTAGGCCGATGAGCATAAGAGCATCTGATAGGGGGGAGGTTTCGGGGGGGGGAGGGGGGGAGGGAGAGGACGAGGGGGGAAGCGATGGGATTATGTTCAAAGGTGCTCCTTTGAACAGCTAAGGGGAGAGCGGGTGGGGCGGATCCGCGGAGGGGTAAAAGAGGAGGGAGCTAGGGGATTAGATTATGACGTATACACCTCCTGGTAGTATCGGAACATGGTAGGTTGATAAACATGAGGGCGTCTGATGGGAGGGGAAGAAGGGGGGGGGGGTAGGAGAGAGGGGGGGAGGAGGCGGAGGCGGGGGGAGACAGTAACCAAACCACCATCTCCCGACTTTCTTACTCCCCCAGACGCGTCTGACCGCTCTTACAACCTCTAGTAGGCTGATGTGGAGTAGAGATGGAAACAGAGTAGCGATCAGAGGGAATCCAGAAAGTTCGGTTTTGAGAACAGCGTACAAAAAGCGAGTAAGAAAGCAAGCACCCACTTGGCTTGCTTCGATTCTCGTTGATGACAATCATTGCAGTGTAGTCTCTGGCCGATGCATACTGCACGATCTGCACTGGCCGGGGGAGGGGGGGGGGGGGGGTTGTGGGGGAGGGGCGGGGACATGGCACGTGGAGAAACGAAACTGAGCCTCTGAGGGGTCTCAAAGACGTGGTCGTTCGTTGATGACAATCATTGCAGTGTGGTCTCTGGCCGAGGCATACTGCACTATCTGCATTGCGGGGAAGGGGGAGCGGGGGAGACACAGAAAGCGGAGAGAGAAAAACGAAGTCACTGAGGTGCCTCAAAGACATTATCGTTGATTATCATTGCAGTTTACTCTCGGGCGAAACATACTGCATTATCTGCACTGGCAGGAACGTTACAACCACATGTAACTGAACAAATTGGGAATGGAAAACCGCGTGATAGGAGTCTAGTTTTGAGGCGCCTCAAAACTAGACTCCTATCACGCGTTACAACCACATGTAACAGAACAAACCGGGAATGGAAAAGGATTTGAGAGACGAACCCAGGTGAGAGAGAATAGAGGAAGCAAGGGAAGGCCCAAAGGAAACAGGAAAAGGGAGGTAAGAAAGGAAAACATTTAGGCATGAAGGCTCGCATCTCCTTGATGCAATACTGCCGCATTTCATAGTATAGTACTCGGACCCTGATTTTGCAAGGCGCTTTCAAGAAAGTTCAAGAACATCCTGCAGGAACAAGAGAGACCTTGAGAACGGGCAAATAAGACTGACTTGCGCACACCTCCTTGATTCGATACTGCCGCCTCTCGTAGTACTCGGACCCTGGAATGACCACTAAAAGCTCCTTTATAAGCTGCTTCATTGTCTGCGCAGAGCAGAACCATTGGGAGAGCCGAGAACAATTGTATGTAGATTGGTAAAACGTGAGACCATGCATTACAAACTGCAACACTATCTGCTGCATTAACATATGGCGCAAAAGATGACAGATGGCGTAAAAGATGACAGATGGCGTAAAAGACGACAGATGGCGTATCAGATGTCGTATCAGATCAGATGTCATAACAGATGGCGTAACAGATGGCGTAACTATGACAGGCGCCATACCTGGTGTATCCGTTGGCACGTGGTGATGAGCACTTTGGGCGGCCGCTCTCTGTTGAAATGGGGTGCAAACTCGTCCTCAGCCTCGTCTGCATGTAGCTGTGTTTCCACCGGGATGGGATGGGAGGAGGGGAGAGGAGGAGAGAGGAGGAGGAAGAGAGGAGGAGGGAGAGGAGAGCAGAGAGAGAGCGGAAGCGAGAGACGGGGATGGAGAGGAGGAGGGGGGAGAAAGGAGGGAGCGAGGACGAGGGAGAGAGGGATCCGGTGGGGAGAAGATTCGGTGAGGCAAGTAAGATGGGAGAAACAGACGTCGAATCTCTTTCGTAGAACGTATCCTTAATTCACACCACACCACATGATCCGTTAATACCACCCCCGCTATAGTCACCTCCTCCACATCACTCTGCACTGTAGCCCCTCCCACCTTTCTTCTGCTGTCAAACCAACCACCCCTCTCACAATTCACTAACCCCCCTCACGACTAACTAACCCCTCTCACAAACCCCACAATTTACTAACCTCTCTCACGACTGCCTAGCCCCTATCACCGCCCCATAGTCAACTTCTACCCCCGTTATACTCACCTCGTCGTCGTCAGGCTGCGCTATAGTCTCGTCCACCTCCCTCGTGCTGTCGATGGTGCGAGCTACCTTCCGCGGTGGGGCCTGCAGGGGTTCAGGGTTGAGGGAGGGGTGGAAAGGGGGGGGGGGGGGGGGGGGGGGGGGGGGGGGGGATGGGGGGAGTGGGAGGGCGGAAGGGCGAGGTTGATATATGGCATTAAGGGACGAGGCTGCGCTATAGTCTCATCCACCTCCCTCGTGCAGTCGATGGTGCGAGCTACCTTCCGCGGGCGGGTGGGGTGGAGGGCTGGAGGTTTCGGGTTTAAGTGATTAGCGGAACGCAGTCTGGAACCGGAAGGTCGGAGGACGAAACTTGGTACACTATCGCCAGTAGAAGTTTTCCATAAAACGCGTCAAAATCGTCTCGAATCGCCTCAGAATAGGAGCGAAGGAGGGTGTGATATGACATACCAACACCCTGAAATGACCAACGCGAGTACCTCTCCCAACCGACTGCTGACCCCGAGGCTCCAGCTATCCGCTTATCCAAACACCCCACATCAACCATCCCCTCTCTCCTACCGCTACCCCGACCTTCCGCTTCCCCCGACCTACCGCTTCCCCCAGCGCCACTGCGCGCTCCTCGTCTTGCCGCCGCCGCTTCAGCCGCTGCTTCTTCCCCTTCTCCTTCTCCGCACGAAGCTTCGCCGTCACTGCCGACCGCTTCTGCTTGTTCTTAATCTGCGACGGCAAAAATCTCGCCGGCAAAATCTCTCCGCCAGCAGCCTCTCGATTGCCGCCACGTGGAAGCGAGCCCTCTTCGCTCTGCCTGCCACGTGGACGCGACCCCTCATCGCTCGGATTGCTCTGCCGGCTCTCGCGATCTTGCTTCTTGATTTTCACAGTGGCAGGTTTCTTGCTAACCTTAACGCCTCGCTTCTTATTATCGTTCTCTTTCCGACCGCCGTTCTCGCGATCATCAGCCGCCATTCGGTACGGCTAACCGCGGAGGCTATGTGACAGGGGGAGTAGTAAAACCTGCAATCGTCAGTTGACTCTCAAACTGGACCGTTTCTGGAGAAATGAAAAGCTAGCCTCGTGCTGGGACGGTTCAGAACAGGGCTTACTTTTGGTTTTAGGCCACCCTATGGCTCATAGGAGCCAAACCCTTAATTTCCAGGGTTCGGATGAGCCCCACCCTAAGACGTGTAGGAGTGAGCTATTTTGCTACGAAATGGGATAGGTAGGTGAAAGAGAGATTCCACACCCTTGCTACTTCACTACTAGCACATTCAGGGTCCAGGGCCATCCCTCAAAATCTGAAGGGCTCCAAAATATCAAACTCTTAAAGCCCGACCGGCAGGTTGCAAGTCCCATTTTCTCAAGATGCTGCACCTTGAGGCCCCATAACCGAGCATCTTGCGTCAAACTGCCAAACGCTCGTGGAAGGTTTCCAACCTGGCAGGGTTGGGGGCCTCTCAGAACTTGGCAATGCCAATCTGCCAAGTTCTTGGAGGGGAGAAATGGGACGAGTTGTGAGGGGGGTAGAAACCTAAGATTGTAATCGCAGTTTGGGCGGGAATCGCGAAAGAAATATGTGCTTTGAACTTTTTGTGTCGCATATTATCGAACTGTAGAGCACGCCAAACCGCATCCGATTTTTGTTTTCGAAACCGGTCAGGACGAGGTGCTGGTTGTGATGTCATCAGCCAACCAGTCACCCTGCAAACTTGGCAGAGCTGGGGAGGTGGTTCTCGGCCAGAATGAGAGCTTCAAAACTTGGCAGCCCTGCCAATTTTCCAGCCCTCCTAGCTTGCGCGACTGATGAACGAAGACACCCCTCCCCTGCACCCTGTGTCTATCTCAACGCGTCCCCCCATCCGCCCTCTTAAATCCGACGCCCACCCCCCCTCCTCTTCACCAGCCGGACTCTCCAAATTCAGGCTCGTGCACGAGAACCCCTCCCCGCTCACCCTACCCCCTCCCCCCCTCCCCCGGCGTCGCTCCCCGAGCGCGTTGCTCCCCCGCCTCTTAATGTTAGCAGATTTGGCCTTGACGGTCCAACCTCGCTCCCCCTCGCCCCAATTGCTTGTGGCGGCCCGCCCCCCCACCATCCACACGCTAACAACATTTCCTCTCCCCCCCCCATCGCACCGGTTTGGTCCCTCCGGCCTGCGATCACACTCTCTCATCTCTTCGCACGAGCCGTCCCCTCTCCCCCCTTCCCTCGTGTCCGCTCCCCGCATGCTTCTCCACTACGCCCGCCCCACCTCCCACAGCCTTCTGCTACAGCCATGCCGACCTCACGTTCCTCCCTCTGCCCCCGCCGGCTCAATGTCGTCCACAACTTCAGCCACACACCCTCACTTCATGTCCCTCCACTCTCTCCACCGGCCGGACCCCTCAGTACCAGGCTCATGCCCTGACACCCCCCCGCTCCTGCCCTCTTCCTCTGCCCCCTACTCCTCTGCTTCCTCCCAGGTACCCGCCTCCCCCGCCCCCCTTGCCCGCCGCTGCTGGCAGCTCCCATCTCGATGGCTCCTCCTCGTCATCCCCCCGCCACGCGTGTGCATCGCGGCCCACACTCCAACCTGGCGCCTACCCCTACAATACGTCCCCCCTCCCACTGCGCCCGCTGAGGCCCTCTGGCCCGAGCACGTACATTCTCACCCCCCCTCACCCGCCCTTCCCCCCCCTCCCCTCTCTCTGTACCGCCCCCTGCTTGCCTTCCCAGCATGCCTCCCATGCAGTCCACACCTAGCTGCCACTCCCCCAATGCCCATTTATCCACCCCCCCTGCTTCTCATGTTCTTCTTAGCACGCCCCCCCCGTCGTGCCCCCAATTACCCTGCCACCCCCCCCACTCCACCAGCCGAGCCCCCGGGGTCCGTGCTCGTATCCGACTACCCCCCCCCCATGCCCCCGCCCCCTCCCCCACCCTTCTGCGCCGCCCCACCCATGCCTCACCCCGTCACCCGCCAGGCCCTTCACTCTGTGCAGCTCACGCCTTGACGGCCCTCTCCTTGCCCCCCCCACCCCACGAGTCTCAAGCTACCCGCCCGCCACGTCCCTCTTGTTCCGCAGCTTGTGCACACATGGCCCCTTCTCTCCCTCCCCAGCCCCACCTTGCCAGTGATGTCCGCACCCTGTGTGCTCCCCCACCACGCCCGCTCTGCCTCCCACATCGTGTGGCTTCTGCCAACTCGACGCTCGCCCCCCACCCCTTTTTCCCCAATCCATGGCGCCTCTTGCAAGACCAGCCGCGCCCCCATACCATCTGCACCTCCCCGCTCCCCTCCCGCCAGGCCCCTGGGGCTAGACATGGGCAAAAAAAATCGCATCGCATCGCATTTAATCGCATTTTTGCGATGGCGATGTTTTTTTTTTTTTTTTTTTTTAAATCATCGCGCGATGCGATGAATTAATATCGCGCGATTTAATTTTAATCGCATTTTAATCGCGCTTAAAATACGCGATTTAAGTGCGATATGCGATTTTTAAAAAATCGCGCACGAAATTGCACTGAAACCCACTCTGAAACCCACTACGAAACCACACTGGTTATTTGCACTCTAGCATACGACTGCCCGTGAGTCAATTTCCCCGCAGCCATGGTTTTTTCCTGTTTTTTTGGGGTGTTTTAATTCTGTTTTAAAACGCGATGCGATTTAAAATCGCATTGCGCGATTTAATTAAACATCGCATGCGATTTTTTGATACATCGCGGGTAAAATGCGATGTGCGATTTTTTTTGTTTGAAAAATAAATCGCGCGATGCGATTTAAAATTGCATCGCTTTTTTTGTCATCGCACCTGCATGCGATGCGATTTAAATCGCAATCGCGTTTTGATCATGTCTACCTGGGGCCCGTGCCTGTGCCCTCCCACCTCCTTCCCCTTGTCCTCCCCACGCCCCCCCCCCTGTGCAGTCCCCCGTATATTCTGCTCCCTGTCCAATGTGCTTATCGACCTCTGCATCTCATGCTCAGACAGCCCCACCGCCTCTCCCCTCGCCCCAAAGTAGGGTGGCGATCCACCCGACCTCCTGCCGCTCCCCCCAACCCTTCTTCCCCCCCCAGCTGCACCCGCCGAGTACCCCCGGCCCGAGCTCATGCCCTCCCACTTCACCTTTCCCGCCCCCCCTCCGCCCCCCACTTTGTCTTCGTCTCGCCCCGCAGGCCTCTCTAATACGCCCTCCTAGCCTTCCACATCTAGCTGCTCCGACCCCGAGCGTCCCAGACTTCCCCCCCTGGCCCCTTGTGTCTGGCACTGCGCAGCCCCCCAGCCAAACACCCAAATCAACGTACCACCTCCCCATCTCCTCCGGTCAGGCCCCACCGGCACTGGTGCCAGCTCCCTCACCCCTCCCCTCATGCCCATCCCCTGTTCCTCCTCTCCCTCGGCTGCCCCCCGAGTGCTCCGCGCCCTCGCCCTCTAAGCCCCCCCATTCTCGAACCCCCCCCCCCACCCCCGTTGCACCTGCTTTATGCTTCCCGCCCCCCTCCCTGTTTTCCCCCCCAACCCCCGCCACTCCAACCCCCTGCCCCTGCCTTTTTTGTCACTCTCCCCTCCCAGTCGCCCCCCCCTTGGGCAGCTGCCCACCCCCACCCCAAGCGCCGTGTCATTTCACCCGCTCCACTGGTCGAGTCCCTCCCCCCCGTGCCCGAACCCGCGCTGCACTCCACTCTTACCCTTCATGCTTCCCCCCCCTCAGGCAAAATCCTCGGGGCGCATGCCGCGCCTACGGCCTTCAAAAACGACCCCGGGCTGCTATACATCGGCGTCGACGCGAACGTCGAAGCCTGGACCTGCACCATGTGCAAGTTTACATGTGGATCCGTGCTCGACAGCGCCATGGCCCACCTCAACACCCCCTCCCACGCAGCCCGCGTGCGCGAGTCGGCGCTCCTTCCCGCGGCCAAGGACAAGTTCGTCTCCTGGAGTGCCCTCACTCTCCTTCAGACCCTGCAGGTTGCGGCCTTTCTGAAGTAGTAACAACACTTAGCCTGTCAGAGCATAAGGTTAGCCTGCATAGGGCTAGATACACCTCGCCACTCTTCGTTTCACAAATCAATGCTCCTCATGTACCACTCTATTGTGATAGCAGACTGAATGGCGGCCTGCCCAGGCGCAACCTTCTGCCCCACCCCATAGGATGCACGTGCTTCGGCCGTGGGGGGTCACATCTTATTCGCAATGATTACCACTCTTCGAGTCTTATGCTTAAACGTTAACGGACTCAACCAAACATACAAAATGGACGCACTCAAGCGTTGGGTCCTCGCCCAACCCAATAAAATCGATGTCCTCATCTTACTCGATACTAGGCTTACTCTCAACTACAACACTCTCATCTACAAGTTTCACCCCACTGCACACGCCCAAGTGCCACCACCCTCTCCGACTCCACGCAGCTCCCCAGGAGGGATTGCTGTCCTTATTTTCAACAGGCTCGTCGGCATCTCCAGCCACTCCCACGCGCCAAACGGTCGTCTCCTCTCGGTACATATCGACTACCTGCAAGACCAAAAACGGCTCCTCGCAATCTACGCCCCTCCAGCTCCTACGGAGCGCCGTATCTGGTGGCAGACCATCCTCGACCCTGCCCTAGCCTCTCCCTCCGCATGCACAGGCACGCTGCTCGTTGGCGATTTCAACGCAGTCGATCTAGCATGCGACAGAAACCGGCCCCTCCATGGTCATGAAAGGACTGAGCTCGGCATACTTCAATCGCTCATGCACTCTCAAGATCTCCTAGATGCCTTCCGCGCCCACCACCCTGACAATACCCTCTTTTCATACTTCGGTCGTCCCAGTCTCACACGCCCTCTCACGCCAGTCCCCGCATCACGAATCGACCGCATGTACGTCTCCCCCCTACTCCGAGCTCAAATGCACACTGCCGCGTATGTGCTCATCCCGTCTGTCGTCTCCGACCATGCTCTTGGCCCTTCCTGCGAGCTTGGCTTCCTCAATCGCACCATGGCCCCAAGACCTTGGTGGCTTAGCACATCCCTCCTCAAACGCCCCTTCATTGCCCAGGTCGCCCAGACTGCATGCCGAACTTTACCCGCCGCCCCCTCCCCCGCGGAATGGGATACCTGGAAGCTCAAACTCAGCAACCAACTTAAGCAATTCTCTAGCCACGAGCGGAGGCGCGTCGCAAAAACCACGACATTATTACAGACCCGCATCTGTCACCTTCAACTCCTCCAAGCATCCCCCCGGGTCA